AACGCGGCCATCCCTCCGCACAAATCGCGAGCAACAACGGAAGCGTATGGAGGCAAACTGGCAAGGCCCCAGCGCCGTTGCCGTGCACTTTCGAGCCGTGGTAATGGCATAACCTCATTGATTACTGATCATTATTCTCTGGAAGGCTACTGGGAAGATGTTTTATGGAGTCCAGTGTGTGCTTCAACTTCATTCATTCGGATCTTCTGGTTCCCGTGCTTACGCAAGAATCTGTGATCAAAGGTAGATTGGTCCGTTGAGCAAGCATCTCCCATTTGTTTAGCCCATCATCGGAATTACGTCACCTTCCGTGGCGTAGAAACACCCCGACAGTGGTCGGAAACATTACGACAAAAGTGGATGATGCTTGAAGCAAACCTCTCTAAAACGTGATAGCTTTGGACGCAGTGTACGCTAAGCCACCGCTAGCAGTCTCGAGCGGAGTCTTCCAGTGGGCTTTCATTTGAAACAACCTCCGTAAATCGTTTCGCAAATTTGGAGAGTGGATTCGAGATCAGCGTCCGAAAACACATCTCTGAGTATAGGTTTCATCACGGATGGCCACTTCGACTTGGTATCCTTCCCTTGTAAGAAGCTAGCCATCTGTGGACCGACTAAAGAAATTATGTAGAGCTTCAGGCTGGAATGATTACGGTAATCCTTCTTGAGCCCGACGGTGCTGACAGATTACGTCATAAGGACGATAAGGGCAGTGAGCAGGGACGTGCTTCCACGTGTAGAAGGACATTTTAGGAATATTTTGTTGGGAGACTTCCATCGACCACGGCAATTTGTGCTGGGTAAAGCTTGCTGATATGCGTTCTGGACAGTGTTTCTTTCTTTTGGCCACCCCTGTATACGAGGATCGAACCACAAGCGCTGTTTCCACATACCTTTTGGTATTCCCAGAGCCGCTCAGAACAAAATGATCCTCAGTTTTCTGCTCCATTCGCGTGTACCTACAGCACGCAAAGACCGTTTTGACAAGCGCTCCGTGTTCTGAAAGGCTTCCCTGGTAAGGCAGAAAACCTCTTTAAACTGTTTAAAATGTCTTGATAGGAATTTCCCGGGTCGTGTGATGAAATTCATTACACCCTTCACCGCACATTGATTCATTGATAAATTAGCTACATAACACTGCGCACACACGAGCCTATTGATTTCAAAAAATTATTATTGCGCACAACTAATCGAATGTTGCACCGAACATACCTGTTTATGACGAAGTACTTTTGCTTTCCCTCTGCTGTCTGTTCATCGTTCTGACAAAGCAAATGCCTATAGAAATACTATTCAGGAAATTTAGGGTCTAATAAGAATTTGCAACAGATGTGATCCAGTTTTTGGTAATCTCGTGGGTGCACACTTCTTGCTTACAGCGTATAATGAAGAGTTCCTGTCGGGGTTTAATACAAGGGTTCGAAAATTGGGCAATTGCTTATGCGGAACATTTGTGAGGGTTTCATAGACCCAGTGATGGTTTGTAAACAAATCAGTCGAAAATCTGATTCGTATAACTTCGTATAATGTATGGCGAGTCCCCAAGTGCTTCGCCGAAAACGATTTTCATGACATTATATTTCGTCGGCTCGAGCAGCCGCCTCCAATGTTGATACACTATGTCTTCTACTAGTGTTTTTGTATCCTCAAGTCTGAAGAAACGGATATTCAAAAGGAAAAATTTCAGGATCACAATTGATTTTTTCTAACAAAAAAAAAAAACAGAGAAGCACAAAAACCGTTTCGGCGAACACTTCTGCGGCGCTCCGTAATAGGCACGCGAAACGTTTTATGGCAATTTGTTTGCTGGTTTGTTGTTTTTTTCTGGGGATTTTTTGTTTTGGGTGGTTTTGTTGGGGTGTGTTGGTTTGTGTACACACACACACCCGGCCCCAACAGTCTGTACACACATCACCACCCGGCTGCGCGGCACTCACCGATTCCTTTTAACAGCATCTCAGGTTTCAGCACGTAGCCACAATTGCCGTTTACTCGGAACAAACCTGTGTTGAGGTCAAGCTCCTGAAGCGACAAATATTAATGCTGCAAGTAGAGGAGCATGAATTTGGGAATCAAAATACAAAGAATTCACGAACTTCTCCAGCCGTTTGCATGTTCATCGCAACACTTTGCACACCACATATCCATGAGATCATCGGATGCATGTTCGACGAATCCTGTCGCAATCCCTGAAATTCCTCATGGGTCTCTCAGAATAAAGTGGTGTGAATTGACATACCAGCGCGTGCGGAAACCGGTAGAGGTCTTTGGCAGTATTCCTGCACAGGAGCCTTCATGCATATGTAATAAATTGAAATTGCCAGAAGTAGCTTATCGCTTAATGACAACTTCTAGCTTCAAGTATGCCTTATATATTGACCTTAAAAAGTTACCTCTAAAATTTCTGAAATAGTTATCGAACACTAACTTGTGCCTTTCCGGAAGTGTGCCGTGACAAGTGGCGCTTACCACGCGAGCGGTCCGGGGATCAAATCCTGGGTCGTGAGTCGCCCGGGCCAACCAAGCCTTCCATATCCCGGGTCGGTTAATTGGTACCAGACTTGTCTGGGAGGATAAAAACACTGACTTGTACATCGGCTGGCCCCCGCAAGTCATTGTATAGGCCACATCGCATTCAAATGCCACTGCGAATGTACAAATGGAAGTAGAATGCGTGCCGCATCCCAAAAAGGGATTGATCAACGGCAAATGCTTTATCCTTTATCCTTTAACCCCTTAAGTGGGTCCTGATAGCAAGCAAATCAATCCCCTCCCCCGCCCACCCCTCCCGTCACACCGTTTCGCTCTGTTCTCGCAAGACATTGTTCAAGCTAAATACGCATTCAAATGCCATGGCTCTAGATGGAGGTCGATTTTGTGGTGCATCGAAGAACGCGATAATATGCAAAAGGAATCGTAATAACTTCGTATTCGATACGTACGTACAAGAGGGATGGGGCAAGCCGATTCATTTAGCGCGATCCCATGCCCATACCACTACCCCTGGGTGATCGTTACCTGAAACAGCTACCCTCCAAGTCCTATAAATCACGTAAATTGCCTCTACCAGAGCGCCACAGATGAGAAAAATGTAGGTCCGTAGGAAAGATCGCGAAAAAACCCTTCAGAGATCAATGACAGAAGTACAATGCAATACGCGCTAGTACCGAGCATTTCTGCTGGAAGACAAACTAGGCGTCTTCTGTCATCTACGCTACTTGCAATAGGAAGATGCGATAAAAAGCATCAATCTCCATCCTCAAGCAAAAATGCAAACCTTTGGATAGGTCTTCGTAAATCGTTCTGCCGTGTACGAGAAAATCGGGCTTCCTCCCTCGAAGACAGAAGCAATCTTGTTCTCGGAAAGTGACGGTGTACCGTCCATGGGATCTAAAATGATTTATGATCAGGATGAAAAAAGCTTATCGTTAGATCATGCCAAATTCAAATTAACTGACGAGTTTTAACATCTGCATGGATATTCTGCGATAGCTTGACTGCACGTAGTGAAATCAGGTCCGAGAAAGCCGGATCAAGAGGGATGTGGGCTGCAGGTCCCTGAAACACAACTCAGTCAAAACTAAAAACTCTACACAGCCACTGAGGAAGGGCTGGGGTGAAACACAAGCACTTCAAGTCCGAAACAGTTAGCACAATCACTCGGGTACCTGAGACACGAGTTGTGTGCTTCTCGAACTCATTCGCACGCTGTTAATTTGTAAAGCCAATACCAACAGCGCGTGCTACAGTACTACAAAGGTAGACCGCCTAACCCACTAAAGCAGCCTCTAAGGGAACCTATGGAATGCCGAGAATAAAAGCAACCAGGTTAAGAAGTATGAAACATCACTCTGAATACTGGAACCAACCACGGCTGAAAAAACTGCTTTCAAGTGCGCAGTCAAACCGGGCTCCTGCAACAACACTGAAACAAAAGCAATCAAAAGAAACGGAGAGGAATTTTCGATGTTAAGATTTACTCAAAAAAAATGAGGTTTCTGTTCATCGGAAATTCATCCTGTCTCCTCTAACGCTATGTGCCCACAGGCACTAAAATCTCATCTCACGAAGCGTTCTACAAAAAGCTCCACTAGGATACCCTAGTCTGAAGGGCAGCACAGTCACAAAACGAAGCAAGCAGAAACACAGAGCTCCTATCAACCAGCTGGGAAGATGATTGTGAAGACAGTAAGCGGTAGACTGACAGCAATGCAAGCGAACACTGGATTATGCAGTCATTCACGCGTTTCAGCCAATTATACTTCAAAGCTTAATCACGATCATTTTTAGAATAGAACCCATGGCTCCTCCCATTTGCAGGAAACCTTCACATTTTGCCTATTATAGTCAAATATTAATTAACCCGTAGCCAATTATTACATTTATTTCAATAGTTCCATCTAGTCTAAAACACTCTCGTGCACTCAGCCAATTCCGCTAATCCTCACGTTGCCTACCGCAGCCCCCCGCTAATTTCTTAAGCTTCTGCCCTCTAATAGGACGATTTACCTGGCCGTAGCATCACAATATTGACGTCAATACTTATCACCTATTCTATACATGTGATTTCGGACCTGAAAAATACACCCTCATCTTGTCTTCCCCCCCTGATCTATACTATGCCATACGATACCTTCTGCCGCGCGGGCGATACAATGCTTAACCCTTTCGGCCCTGGCGGTGGCAATTGCCACCACCAAATTCAAACGCTTGCATTTCCGCTGAAACAGCATGGTTTTTCTAATCCTGCTAGAGGTTGCTTCAGTCAACCTTCCCCTTCCTAATTATGAGCTAAACCTGCCATTTCATTGTTTATTGCTGTTAGTATTACAAGTATTTGTGTACAAGTGCAACAATGAATGGCGCTGACCCCCGCAACCGGCCAAGTAAGTGTGACTTTTTCTTAAAATACTTGAAGTAGATCCATTCCTAAATCAAAATTATGGGTTATAATATTATGCAAGATTATAAACTTTTTCGGCAATAACTTTTACGGCATAACTACGAAATTTCGAATTATTTCGACATAAGCTTAAAAACTAACGAAGTTATTACTTCTTTAGTTTCTTTGTTTGTGATCGAATAGCTTCCAAATTTCGCCATAATGATACCTATATGCTCACAAGTAATAAACAATAGCTAGAAGAAAAATTTCTCCACGGGGAAAAATTCAGGTCCGAAAGGGTTAAACATCCGATCATGTATGCCTATATGCTGGATATACACCTCTGTCATTACGCTACCGTATTATTTAGCAAATACAGATATCATTGCCTGTCCTAATGGCCTTCTCTAAGCAGTCGGCAAGATGCGGACATCAGGTCTAGTGAGGCTCTCAGAACGCCCTAACATATCCAGTTGGTTGATTTCAAGCGTTAATTTCCTCTTGAAAAAGACTGGCAGGTTTTTTGAAGAATTTTCTTCCCCATTACATTGAATCCTTAGAACTGAAGGGTTCGAAACTACTAGAAAACACAAGACATTCCACACTAAGAGGAAACTAGTTAGGTGAAGAAGAATAATGTTTAAAACCGCTTTGGCGAATACTTTTGACCGTTACTGTAATTATAGTAGTCCGTTCAGTCCCAAATCCCATGGCTCTGAAAACCCAAGTTGCTGATTCACATCTTACTTCACGTTTACTTCCGTGCCTCACTTCAGAACCAACTAGATGCTAATTCGCATAGTTTTGCTTTTTTACTGAATGGTCCTAGTTAAACTACTACCCCTTCTATTGGTGAATCTTAATTAAGCCAAGCTAGTTACGCGGAAATAGTTAATTTTAAGTTAGTTATATTATAAGTTTAAATAGTCTACATGAATGTTTCGCTGAATGGTCCTGGTTGAACTACCCTTCTAGTGATCGACATTAATTTAAGAATCTGGAACTATCCCAAAAATTTGAATAGACGCAAAACATTTTGGACGAGTCTTCGAGTATATTCATTCCCGTACAGGTCTAGTGAACCCTTGGAACGCCTGATATAGAGTTCGGTTAAAAAAGTTGCACTGCGAGACGTCTTCCAAACAATACATTTTCCTTTTAAAACGTCCTTGCAATATTTTTTGAGGACTTCTTCCGCACTCCCTTAAATAAAGGGTTCGAAACTACTAGAACAGACGAGATATTTTTGTTCTTTAAGACCTCAGCTTTTGGAATATTCTATTGTTACTATTCCATGCTCATTGCCGAGCTCCGATTCGTAATGAATTACTACTAAATATCGAAATCACCATTACCGTGCTAGAGAGCGTCCGCAATGCGACGATGATCAGCACAGTTTGCATGGAAAATGCGCCAAAACGTAACGAATTTCCCCAAGCTTTGAATTAGTGTACTTACCTGGACAAAATGTGAAGAGACGCGATCTTCTTCCGCACCTTTCCACAAGCTCCTATAGGTATCGTCCCGAAATTTCACTCAATGAGTGGTTTGTGAGCATTTGTCTTCCACCTACGAACAGATCGCACTTTGCCATATAACCATTGAACAAATGGCTCTAAATATTTGAAGGTCAGACTTAGTCCACAACGCCTATCATAACGAATCTTAACAAATGAATTTAGATAGGGTCGTGCAGTACGCCCCAGCCAAAGATAACCTACAGTAGCGGTCAAAAGTCTTCGCCGAAATTGTTTTTCGACTGTAACTTTTTTTCCGCTGAATCAAATCAATTCAAATTTTAATATGTTTTAGAGATAGTCCTACTTCACTTAAACGGCATATTTGTTTCGGATTGAGAAAGAATTAAGAATGGAAAAAAAATCATTTCACTAGAAATTCTCGCGTATGAGCAAATTCCAAGTAGGTTTCAAATTACTCTAGCGAGCTTACAATTCAACAAAACAATCTTACGCATGATGAATAACACTGGGCAGGTCCAATACTTTGTTAATGATCTTCTGGGTACGCTGAAATACTAACAAGGCCTAAGTAAGGAATCAGTCATTGAATGCAGTGTCTACAAGGGCAGCTTCCTCCACTTCTCTTGAAATTTGACGAGTTTCTCGCCCATATTTCCGGCTCTTATTTCCACCAAAGGTATCCCTACTCTTTCCCATAATGTTTCGATGGCGCTCGGGACATTGGTGTGAATTGTTCCCTTCGTTGAAAGCGCGCCATGCTGTCGAAACCAATCCTTCACAGTGAAGGTGCGATGCTTTTGGTCGCTCTATAGCTAGAAGGCGAACTCAGTCACGTACAGTTTCATACGAGCGAATACGAAACTCCTTCCAGAATCTATCTGATACGTCGGCATCCTCCACTTCTCTAATCCTGTGCAGTTGTAAAACTTCTTTTACGGACTACCACACGCGAGCCTCCGCCAAGTTTTACATACGGCAGTTAATTCCTTGGATCGAAACGTTTTTCCTCAGGACCGCACACATTCCTATTTCAGTCGCCGGCAAACATCTTGAATTTACTCTCGTTGGTCCGCAGGACGTTGTAGCCCTATGGGGATCCCCACTCTGATGTCCTTACTTAGGCCTTGTTAGTATTTCAGCGTACCCAGAAGATCATTAACAAAGTATTGGACCTGCCCAGTGTTATTCATCATGCGTAAGATTGTTTTGTTGAATTGTAAGCTTGCTAGAGTAATTTGAAACCTACTTGGAATTTGCTCATACGCGAGAATTTCTAGTGAAATGATTTTTTCCATTCTTAATTCTTCTCAATCCGAAACAAATATGCCGTTTAAGTGAAGTAGGACTATCTCTAAAACATATTAAAATTTGAAATTGATTTGATTCAGCGGAAAAAAAGTTACAGTCGAAAAACAATTTCGGCGAAGACTTTTGACCGCTACTGTATCTATCGATCCACCATTTGCGCGTCGGTCAGCACCCTCAAAAGCAGCCTCCTATCTCCCAACTCTGTATTTCCTCTGCCTTCTTTGACCTCGTTCTTAATCGTCTATTTCCCCCAAATTTCACTTACCTCCTCGCTGATATAACGTATTATTCGATCTAATACCCACGTACTGTATTACGGCCTAATTACATACCTTCTTTTTCGCTGAAGGATCATCATCATCGTCGTCCTCCTTGTCGGCATCTGGCGCTCCACCCAACTTTTTACCTCTCAACAATACCTTGTTCTTCAATGCGTTCGGACTTGGCAGCGGGATTTTCGCCGAATTTGGAGGTGATATGTAGAGCATATTGCCCAGTACCTGAAAGAGGAACTTTTGAAAGTCAATCGAACGATCTGGAAATCCACATTTACCAAAAGGGAAATGTATGTAGTAATTGTCAATCTCTCTCAGTTGCATCGTGCAGTGGCTTAGACGAAATTTCTCATAATGCTGCTACTTGCCTCTAAGGCTATTTACATTGAACGTGAATCTCTTAAATAATTCGACTGCCCCAAGATTCGAAATGAGGTCACAACTACCGAAAAATATCTTATTCTTTATAGCATGTCGTATGGTTAGGACACCTTCATGTCTATTTCTCAGAGCCTTCGATGCACTTATAAGAAAACAATGGGCGAAGGTGTACCAAGGGCCCAAATGGTGCATGCATAGTCTGGTAACGGAGATGTTAATAGTCACCCGCATAATTATTCACCAACTCAGAAACCGTTATTGCCTCCTGTTTGCTTCGTCCTGGCTAGCCCTATGAAAACACATCTGAGCATGATTCCAGCACAAAATGGCACCAATAGGTCAAACCACCAAGCCTCTACAGCTATGTCTAACGAGACTTGAGTCAGAAGCGTACCAGGAAAAAGACTAAAACGACGTTGGTTTTGTTCGTTGAGTAGTTCCTCCTTTTATTAGGTTGGTAACTTTGAAATGTCGCCAAACTAAGCAGAAACTTTTAGGGGATTAGGTGCTGCTGTCACACTTAAAATTCGACGTGCGACTGGTAAAGACCTTTTAGGAACAGAAAATGGGTTAGGCCTATTCTGAGCGACATGAGCAAGCAGTAATGGTTGCCAATACTGGCATTCTCTTCCATAACTCTAGGACTAATCGTAAGATGGCTATAGACTTTGTTGTAAAGCGCACTTTACAAGAGGACGTTCCCCGATAACAAAGTGAGAAGATGGCCTCGAGTGAGCAGATATATAGCTGAGGATGACTTCGAAACTGGCGTCACGGAAACAAATCTTGCGCTGCATAGGTCGAGACAGTTAGGCGTGACGGAGCTGATTGTTGGTCGGCGTCAGTGTTACATGCCGAACTGTACAAAACACATCCAGCCGCCGTGGACCGAGCTCTGCGTCATCGAGGGGTAAATCCGGCCATTATAAAACTATGGCACGATAACGCAGGACCACATGTCGCGAAAATCACGCAACAAAAAATCGGGGAGTTGGCTAGAACGTTCTACCTTCCACGCCATATAGCATAGATCTGGCGACGTCCACTATCATTGTGCCAGCTTAATGCCGCGCTCCTTGGCAGCAAATAATCAAATAATCCGGACGACGTCGTCAAAATTTGAGTACATAACTTCTTCGAGTCGTACCTGGAAGAGTTCTACGAGGTGAGCCACCATGTTTTACGTAACAAAAGGTGACAACTGAGTGACATACATGGAGGAAAAAATTTGAGTTTATGTGCTTTGATACAGCTTTTACACTTGAAATTATCGTTGATCAAAAACGACATTTCAAAGTTACCAACCTGATATTTGAAGAAATAGGGTATTGGAAAATGGCCAACATCTAGTTAAGCAAAATTTGTTGCATTCAAAGTTAAAAACAAACCTCCTGAAAGACATCCACCATAACCCTTTGCTGCACGAGACCAACATGATTTTCAACAGTCAAAATTACAGGATATGGAGTTGTTTCGAACGCACAACGCTGTAATTGAAAAAAACATAAGTAAGAAATGCTTCCCTCGTGTTCATTGCTGTTGACCGAATCTGTAACCCAAAATCTACGACGAGCTTACTGCCACTCATTGTGCACATCAATTCTAATGAGCGCTAATTTTTCAAAGTGACCTGCTTTGTAAGTGATGGTTCCTTGAACAACCTTCTATAGCTGCTCAAGGAACAAGCGTGAAATCTGTTAAGTCAAAACCTGGAATTAGACGCCTTCACCGTTGCATTGCTTCAAGCGCATTTCGCAGTGTGATCGGTTCAATCAGAGTTCGTTTATGCGTGATGACTGGCTCTCCATGGTCACCGTCGAAACAAATCAACTAAAATACCGAGGTTTATGGCCTGCTTTGTTTGCTTACTGTTGCTTCAACGCCGCAATTAGCGTTGTGAACGTTTCGCAAATGCTTATTATAAGCAAAAGCCAAACATTGAAATAACTGAGATAGGTAAGCCTAAGTAGTAACCAGTACGCTTAGCATGAGTGACACAATGGCCTTGTATTATATTATAGCAGGCATGAATTTTCGGAGAAAAGAGAAGCAAACACATAACTGGATTTAACCTTAATAACAGCATCAGGTATGTCCAGTCTAATGGTGAAGGTCAGAGGCAGAGACCGTGTGCCGCGCGCGACCACAATGCGGCCTTCCTTGATGGTCGAATACGCTCCCTCACGTTCACGTTGGAAATTGGAATGTTGTTTGTGATGGAACACACTCTAAGGCGAGCGTGTGCTTTTTGTAAGCCTACAACGGCAAGACATTATGTCGGCGCCTTGAACAGGACACTAAAGCCGCTCGCGCAGGTCAGCCTCCAACTTTGCGTGGAGAAATTTTCAACGGGAAGGGTCATATTCGCTCTCTGGAAAACGGTCGTAAACGCAGGTGCCAACGACAGTTTGTAAAACTACAAGGAAGGAGGCATTAGAACTTCTGAATGACTCTAATGATGATCGAATTCTTGCAAGCCTCGCGCATTGTGCTTTTGAGAGAGACTGCCCATTGCCAATGATACAAATCACGATTAATTCATACGTAAAAAGTCTGTTCTCAGCTAAAAATCATCCGCCGTACCGTCGCCAAACGAAGTGCACGCAAAATGCCCATATTATGACGGAGTGACTTTCCAGTCAAAAAGAAAGAATTTCTTACAGGAAAAAATCATTCTGATGCGGTACCCTTTTCAGAAATAGTTTTCGTTACTCATATTCTAAACGCAACGATTTTTCATTGTCACTAGCACCATTCACATCAAGAACTTGTGAATAAGTATTATTTCTCTAATTTTTTGAGGTGCTGTTCTGATTCGATGAATATGTGGAGATATTATGGCATTTCCGAATCTAAACAGTCATCCCGCCATGCAGCCCCTATGAGCTGCACTAAGCATGTCTCCTGGGCATGCACCCTATATAGGCTGGCAGCTGATAAATACTTAAAGATAAGGCGCGTAGGAATGTAAAGATCGTGGGATAATCTTCGTAATCAGAGCTAGAAATGCTTTCAAAATTCCTTTACCGGAAAGTAAATAGATGCTTCCATTCTTCGTCACCCACTATCGCATTTCAAAACGGAACATCCTAACTATTATATTAGATAAATTTTGCGCCATGTGGAGACTGAATAGCAAAATATCTGTGGCATTCATGGTTTTTGTTCATCTTACACTCGTAAAATGCCGCGATGTCAGGGGTTAGGTCCCAACAAAATTCGCGTCCGTTGCCCATGCGACCGAAGTGGATACAGGCGCCGTGCGAATGTGTCAAAAATTACATGCGCTAAAAATCTCCCAAAGACGAAAAATGAAAGTGCTTCCGAGAGGTACTTTAGGAGCATTATTGACCTATTCCGACTCTTTACAGCAACGTCGCACTTTAAAAAAGAAGTTCTACTAGAAGTTAACGCCACCCATTAATAGGTGGAATTCTCATTCATCGAGCTAATCTGGAACTTCGCAAATTCCAGAATTACCTATTCTTCCAAAACATTAATAGTTAATGTGGAGAAGTTAGGCCTGGCATCATTACTATAATGTAAGGCCCGCTATGAGGATGATCGCCAAAGTTTTTGAAAATGTCACACGTGACTATTGATTCTACATACCTGCATCCAATTGCTCTTCATCACAAATAGTACAGCTGTTTGAAGTAACTAACGCTCGAGCAGTCGCGCTCCTTTCCTCAAAGCGTAGATGTATCCCTCGACCGTAGCTTCACCCTTCAGTTGCAAACCGGAGAGGTAAGTGTTGTGACTCGAATTGCAGTAATAGTGCGTGAGCGGTTGGTCCATGTCTTGCCAGATAGCCTCGTGTCCCTTCCTTGAGAATATTTCCCCATCGCGACTGCATGAGACGGCGGAATCCTGAAAAAGTCTTATGTCTAGCATAATGAGCCACTGACACTGTGACTTATTTGAGTGAAATGGACCACAAATTCAAATTGGAAAATGAACGAATTATAAAAATGCTGGGTTATGAACAAAACTTTCGTCCCAGGCATGACTACAACCCACACCTCTGGCTTACCAGCTAGTGCGCCACTAATCATGCTTACGGTGCACTTGCCCGGTAAGCTTCCTTTTTTGACCCAAAGTATGTGAATAGATCTCTCCTTGAAACTGATGACAATTGCGGGTATTTCAAAGAAGCTCACCGATGATTCCCATAAGCTTATCCTTNTGCTGCTGCACAGCCTGCTCGAATGTCTCCAAAATCGACTCTGCCTTCTTGAGGTCCACATTTCCGTAACCTGAAAATAGAGGGAAATGCTATCATATAGCGATACTCGACTTGAATCGCATCAATCGCCATCAATAACTCGATCACCACTGCCGGAATGAACTCTTCTTCTGTGCCACCTTGCCCAACTGATCTGGGTGATCGGTGATGTTGGTAGAGGGGGAACCCAGTCTATTCACACAACGTTTGCCGTGGGTCTGTCTGTCTCCACCAGGTGAAGCAAGTGATTATCGCCGACTTCGAGTCGACACCGCTGTGCGGAACTTCGACTTTGGAGTCTGCTCGTGCAAGTTTAAGGAGAATTCACGATTAGAATGAAGGTCGAAGAAAGGGAAACTGACCTAGTTGAGGGACCCACGGACCTCCTGAGGGTGCGAACTGACGCGCAATTCGCATGGAAAAATTTGACCTCGGCGACCTATCATGCCTCAAAGCTGGCGGGTCGGCGATCTCCGCCCACCGATCATCTGATCACTCGCCGTAGTTCAATACGTGGCGGATGGGTGAAACTCCAGTTCGGGGGGGCCACTCCATTGCTATCTTATCCGTAGTACTAGAGAGCAGTTCTTTGGGCTATCGAACACTACGGATAAGATAATAAGTGAACGACTCATTTCGAGCGTACTTTTGATAAGGACCGGTGGATGTCCTACATTCCACACTACCTGCCCACATCCCATCCACTTTTCTGCACAGGTGATCCACCCTGGAGCTCCTGCACCCTTAGCCCTTTGCGGAGGTGTCCTTTCTCCTGGTCCAGGACCGTTCCCTTGGGTCATGGCAGGCGGAAATGTGAAAACGTTTCAGGGTTTCTCACCCATTACACCAATATTTATCAGAAGTCTACTTTAAATGAGTCGATTACGTGTCGTGAGCCCTCTAATCCTTATCTTGAGTATTGGAGAAAAAATGGAGTGGCCCCCCCGAACTGGAGTTTCACCGGGCGATGATTAGATAGCTGAGAGAGCGTAGTGTTGAAGAGGGCACAGCGATGAGAGTCGCATCAATGCTCGAATCAACGGGCAAGGAAGGGGTCCATTTCTCGGGTTCTGGGCCGTTTCTCATGGTTCTTCCTTCTTTCGTGTACCACTCACCATCCCTAGGTTAATTTGAAATGGGTTGCTTTTTCATCGTGAATTCGTCCTTTAAACAATGTATTACCTGCGTTCGGAATATTCATCGCGTTACAAAGTGCACATTCATACGCAACGACTGTATGAGGCTACTGATTCGCCAAATATGAATTTCTACAGTGAAAGATCATGAAAGGGCTATGAGAAAGTTGCATATTGCAGAAACGAGCAAGCTTGAGTTTACAGCTAATAACAATACTAAACTTGTACACACATTCTGTTATCCTTATATGTACATGCACAACTCCAAATCGCACGGAAGGCATTAAGCAAACCGAATTTCCCCTCTGCACTTGCGTGTATGGGGTTACTCCCAGCATCGTCCTCTCTCGACAGCGCGTTGGATAACGCTGACCGCATGCTCGTCCTGCCTGCGCAGAGTCCAAGTCTCTGAGGCGTAGGTTAGGGCAGGAAGGACAGCGGAATCGAAGAGGTGGGCACGGAGCCGGATGTTCTTCGTCTTCTTCACTACTCCCTCGATGTTCTTATACGCTCCCCAAGCCGCTCGTTTCCTCCTGCTCAGCTCTA